GAGAGAAATGATTGATTGGGAAAGCAAAAGTATTATTATTTCTATAAAATGTGCGCTGAAGCTTTCATCATCCTGAACAGAGCTGCTAACGTGCTGACAAGAGCTTCATTAATCTGAGATTTAATTGAGAGCTTTTGTTGTTTGAGGCATCTCCGTCAAGAACAACGTTTCACGAAAGGATATGTTCTGGGTGAATATTTTTATTTCTAATATTCTGAGAAGAAAACTGTCAAATTTCAAAACACCAACAACAACAAAGGCGATGGCTGTGAGTCCAGCTGCTGTCGATCCAGTTCAAGCCAAATAAAGTTCCAGTAATTAAACTGGCTGTGAAGCTTTGCTGTCTGAGGGCCTGTTAAACAGTGTTGTTCTGGGCTGGCACAATAACGATCAGCCCCTGAATCTCGCTTAATTACCCACCATGTGACAGTTAAAGAAAAGACAGAATGCAACATTCAGTCAGTTTGTTGATTAGTCGTGTGATTTATCTGCAGTTTATAGACGTTCACTTAGCGCTGCTGGAATAGGGTTCGGGCGCATCCTTTCCCACGGCGTGAGGTTGTTTGCCCCGCTTCCTTGATGTATTTATGGGGCTCAGAGGACTTTTCCTGCAACAGTAAACCCATTTTTGTATCCTTCATTATTGCATTGGCCCTGAGGGAACACTCGATTATCTATGTGAAGCGTCGTTCTTTTGCCCAAGGCGAGGCTGACATTGAATATTTTCACGGCGACAGAAGAAAAACAACCGCTCAAAACCAAACTGTGATTACAGCGTGCGTCAAAAGTGCCTGCAGCCATTTGCAGTCCGTCTTGTCTTCCAATTAGTTTTTTTGGTTTTAAAATCAAACTCAGCTTTTGATTTGCGTGATGTGTTTATCTGAAGGTGTCTGTCGTGTAAACGGAGGCTGTCGAGGCGTCACAGTGGAAAACACGAACGTACACGTGTGCAGACGTGGATGTTCACAACACGGCTCCTCGTCGACCTCTTCGGGGTTTCGTTTTCAGCGCGCCGCGGTGGTTTTGGAAGTAAAACAAAGACGCAACAGGCAGAACACAACCTATGAACAGGTGAGTCTGGCTAGCTGTTGGTGACT